AACTTCCCCACCCTCGTTTTGGAGAAGAAAAAATGCGTCTTATATGCCCAAAAATACGGTATATAGTTTTTATTCTGTTTAGCTATCCAAGCAGTTTATCACATGGGGGGAATCGGGGTGGTGGTGTTAAACAGTGAATATCCTGTGAACATCCTATAATAGCAATTAAGATTTTGAGTCATTATCTCAGGAATAACCAGCCAGAAATCATTCATGAGATTTCCCAATGAATGATTTGTTGCTGGTTATTCACTGGATATTGATTCTTTAATTGTGACGTCGTATGCATGATTGCTTTATTTTCATGGGATGGTCACTGTTTAAATTCCCAATTTTCCCCATGTGATAAAGTCCGAAGAGCAAATATACAAACATGATGCAGAAGATCTCTGGTCAGGGTCCTCAAATTATTTTTATTTTATTTGATGCAGCTACATAACAGAAAAAATACAGAAAAAATATTTCCCATATCTATTGCTGAATATAATTTTTCACATGTAATACCTGACATATGCAAGTTGTTTTAAGCTGCACACACACAATGGCTATTCATGGCTACTCAGTTCATCTTCACCCCTGTGAAACATTGTATCTAGCAACTTGTGTGGTAAAAACAGCATGGTGGTAATCTGTAATACTGCAGTATGAATAGATCATTGTGTTGTGGTGCTGGAGAAGAGTTCTGAGAATACCTTGGACTACTAAAGAGCCAAATCAATGGGTTCTAGAGCAAATCAGGCCTGAATATTCCCTAGAAACAATGGGGCTATGCAGACGGGTGGCTCTGGACTGCCCCTGCGAGCTGAAGATTGGGACCGCAGCAACCCCATGCTGTGGCCCCGATCCTTCCTTTTGCCTGCCCCTAAAAGAGCAGCAAAATGCTGCTCCTTTTAGGGATGGCAAAAGGCTACCCCAAGAGCCAGCACTGTGGCTCTTCTGCACCCTTTTGGCACAGCGTGTCTGCACGCTGTCCTGGGAGAGTGTCCTGATGCTGTGCACCGTGCGTACAGGTACGCGGAGTCAGGACAGTGTCAGGGTGGGGTTGGGGCAGCTAGTGTGTGGCTGCTCTGCCCCAACTCCACCTCCAGGCTGGCCCTTTGGGCCAGTCTGCAATGCCCCAAAGAGGACTAAATTAAAGTTGTCATATTTTGGCCATATAATGAGAAGAAAGAACTCACTAGAAAAGACCATAATGCTTGGTAAAGTTGAAGGCAATAGGAAAAGAGTAAGACCACATCCCAGATGGGTAGAGTCGATCAGAGAAGACACAGCCATGAATCTAGAAGAGCTGAGCAGGATAGCTGAGGATAGGGTGACTTGTAGGTCTCACATTCCTCTGCAAGCCTTTTGTATGCCTATAATGGCATTACTTTTCCATGGTAGTGGGATTCTGTGAGGCAAGAGGCTATGCTTGTAGGACCCCTATGTCTGACAGGTTTTTGCTGAGGAGCCAGACTAAATGTGCCAAGTGTGGGTAACACTGGTGGAGGAGATAATGGCAGTGGCACCATAGCAAATGCTTGTTAGTACCACACAAAGGGAGACATCCTTTCCTTTTGAAGATATTTTACCACAAAAATCCTATGATGAGACAGTGCAAAATGAAACAAGTGATAGTGCCAGAAGATGAAACTGTTAGGTTGGATAGTACTCAGGAAAGGACATCCATTGGGAAGGATGGGATTAGGACCGATTGGGGACTGATCTGGCTAAGATTGGGTCACAACGCCTCTGGTCTAAGGAGGAGGTGTGCAATAATTCCCCCTCCCCACCAAAAAAAAAATTCAGTTCACACTGGAGCTGGGGAAAAGTATATGCAATAAACTCCCAGGTCTACACAGCAAGGCAGAGTTCCAGGAGTGCAATGGACCAGAGGCAGGGTCAAGAGACGGACCAAGATCTGAACACAAGACTAGCAAGACAAGGCAAAATGCAATCAGAGCAGCTACAGACAGCACAGAAAACTATGTTGCAAGTTGGGAGGCCAGTGCAGCCCTCAAATAGCTGTACTTTCAGCTGCTCCAGTGGCCCTGCATGAGTAGAGCTGGCTGTGCCTGTTGGCCTAGCCCTGATCCTTCCAGGCAGCTTGGTCCTGGTCTGCAAAGACTTTGGTGGCAGGCCTCTAGCAGCTAGAAGTCCCATCCTGCAATGACTTACATAGGTGGGCCCTTACAGGCCCGCAGCTTACTTAAATTGCTGCAAACTGAATTCAAAGTGCAAAAGGATTTTGCAGTCAACTCAGCAGAAGCAGGGAGCAGGGGTAAAATTTTGCTCTTCCCAGTAGGCTCAGGCAAAAACTGCTGCCCCATCTCCTAGCTTGTATATTCTTCCTCGTTAATAACTTTTGCCATCGTGCCCATGCTCTGCATTTTTGGCCACATTCATACCAGCTTTTGTCTGTGAAATGTTGGAGGATATGGAACTGTACCACAGAGGTACTTCAGCAGAGCAGAGTTCTGCCGCCCTATTCCAGTCCTCTTTCTTCTTCTTTTTTCTACTGTAGGGGTAGGCACAGGGCAGCACATGGACTGCATGAGGCCTCTGAAACCCCCATCAGTTTCCTCAAAGTTATAAGAGACTAATTTTTAAAAGTATATTGTTACAAATTTCAGACAATTATTGTCCCCAAAACACACAGAAAGTTCTCCATACATGTAAAACCATTCAAAAATACTCCACCCTATCCCCATAAGTAGTCTAGCACCCTGTAATACCTGCATATACCCACCATTTTCCTCTGCAGTTCTTCACAAAATGGCAACAAGAAGTGATGTCACCCCCTCTCACCATTTTGAAAGGGACTACAGAGGAAAATCGGAGTGTATGGGCTTGCTGTGGGTAGCAGGTGGTGGATTATCACAGCCAGAGGGGAGTCTGGAAGAAAACTGTCCCTTGGTCCCCATGCAGTTGCCCACTCCTGATCTCTGAGTCAAAGAGCTTTCCATCAGTGGGAGGGTACTGACTGGGTAGAAGCCAGTAATATTACAGTGTGTCCTTGCTATCTACTGGGGTTCGGTTCCAGGGCCCTCTGTAGATACCAAAATCTGTGGGTGCTCAAGTCCCATTAAATACAACAGTTTAGTAAAATAGTGTCTCTTATATGAAATGGCAAAATCAGGGTTTTCTTTTTGGAATTTATATATTTTCTAGCCATAGATGGCTGATTCCGTGGATTGAGAGTCTGTAGATATGGAGGGCCAACTGTATTATGCAGAAACAGAAGAGAAGAACCAGTAGTTTTTAAAAGTAGGAGGATGCTATCTGTGAGAGGGATATAATGTCAGTTATCTTTCTGAAAGACAACATAATTCATCTCCTGGATTCCTTTCTTGTGCTCTATTTTTATCCAGAGTTTCTAATTGCCCCAGATCAGGGTGTATCCAAAATATGTGGAACAGTCTCACAGTCTAAAAGGTCATGTAACATCAGTAACATGTAATCTGTGTGTACATTATTGTATTACCACCATGGGAATGTTGACGTTGCTCGTCAAGATGGGGAACATCTTTGTGGTTCACACAATAAAAGCAAAACACAGCTTGGTATGAAGCATAATTGCTCCTGAGAAAAATCAATGCAACATCTAAAGAGCATGCAAGATTCACTGCCTCAGGAGGCTACCAATTCATTTGCAAGAGTGGGTTAATTTTATGACTATCTAGATAAGAGAAATAAAAAATCTAATAATTCAGGGCGTAAGCTAACTGCCTTCAGGGATTAAGAAGAAAAGACTATGCTTCATTCATAGCATTGTACAATCTTCCAAGCATAGGGGGCATTTTATGCAGAACTAGATAAGGGACTGTTGCTGTTATATTTGTTGTTGTGTACATTTAGATTGTTGTTATGTGCCTTCAAGATGTTTCTGACTCATGGTAAACCTAAAGTGAACCTATTGTGGGGTTTTATTGGCAAGATTTCTTCAGAGGGGGTTTGCCTTTGCCTTCTGAGGTGGAATGAATGTGACTTGCCCAAGATCACACAGTTGGTTTCCGTGGCTGAGCAGGGATTCAAACCCTGGTCTCTAGAGTCATAGTCCAATCCTCTACCACTACACCACACTGGCTCTCAGGTGAGAAGCAAAAGTAAACAGGCACAGATATAGGGTCAGAACCCTGAATGCAATTGTTCAAATAGTTGTGTGTGGATAAATCTAGGGTTGGTTTTGGAAGCGTTACATGACCTTTGTTGTAGACTTGATGCTCAAGAATGGAGTGAAATTTACCTGGTTTTAGCTGGTGGCTATGATGAAGCAGTTCAGGAAAATGTGGAATATTATGAAGAACTGAAAACTGCTGCTGCTAAGCTTCGTGTTGAAGAGCAAGTCACATTCCTGAATTCATTCCCTGATGAACAGAAAATAGCTCTTCTTAGCGGCTGTACTTGTGTGCTGTATACACCAAGTAATGAACACTTTGGCATAGTTCCTTTAGAGGCTATGTACACAAAGCCCAGTCATTGCAGTAAATTCAGGGGGACCTTTGGAATCCATTGTAAACAATCAGACAGGTTTCCTGTGTGAGCCTCATCCAACTGAGTTTTCAGCAGCCATGGGGAAATTTGTGAAGGACCCTGCTTTAAAGAGAATAATGGGAGCTGCTGGAAGGACCAGAGTCCTAGAAAAGTTTTCATCAGAAGCATTCACTGAAAAATTGTATTAATATATTCATAATTTAATGCAATTAAAAAAAAAGTTGTTATATAGCATTAAAAAAAAGAGTTGTGCGTGGAAGATTTACTAGGTGCCAAGACTTAAAAGAAAATTATTTCAGAATTGAACATCGTTGGTACCTAACCCCAATAAAATTGGCAAACATCTATAAAACAAGCAGTAACAAGTGCTGGAGATGTAATGAGGCCATTGGAGGGTGGTACCACATCTGGAATTGTACTTTAATTAAGTTCTATTGGGGGGGGGGAGAATCACATAGCGATATGTGAGATTCTCAATATTAATCATTATTTGCTACCTAAAATATACTTACTAAATATGGTAAACAAAACATCTAAAGAGATAGAAAAGAATAGCTGAAGATTATTGCTATACATGATAATAGCTGCAAGACTAATATTAATGGAGAAAAAGGAAAACAATAGGTACCCTCAGTGAAGGAATGGTTTTGGAAACTGTTAGATATGATGAGCATGAATATATTAACTGTTAGATTAAAGGGACAAAATACAAAAAGTAGAACAAGACTGGACTCCAATAATGCTATACTCTAAGAAGGAACATTTAAATTTATAAAGATGCTAATTTTTTTTTAAAAAAAAAGTTAAGATAACTGTGATCAAAATAATTTGAGTTTGTTGTTTAATCACACAGAGGAATTGGAAAATGCTATGGTTGTTGTGAAGACAGTAAGATTTAAATGATAAAAGTTTTTTGTACAAACTGGATGAACATGGCAAATCAACTGTAAATATGTATATTTGAAAATGAAAAAAAATCAAAGAGTTGTGCATGGGGACAAAGAGAAGTATTGTAACAATACTTAAAAACCAGATTACTGAAAGATCAAGGAAGAAAGTTCAAAGGCAAGTTTACATTGAATGTTAAGAAAACAAAAATAATGAGCACAGATGATTTATATAATTTTAAAGTAGACCATGAAGATACTGAAATAGTTCAAGATTTTCTATACCTTGGCTCAGTCATTAATCAAAATTGATACTGCAGTCAAGAAATCAGAAGATGATTAGTACTTGGAAGGACAGCTATGAAGGAATTAGATAAGATCCAGAAGTACAAAGGTATTTCATTGAATACTAAAGTTCAGATTGTCCATGCCATCATATTTTCCATTTCTATGTGTGGTGGTAAAAGCTGGACAGTGAAGAAAGCTGATTTGATGAAAATCAACTCATCTGAAATATGGTGCTGGAAGAGAGTTCTGCATATACCCTGGACTGCCAAAAAGGCAAATAAATGCGTCCTAGAGAAAATCAAGCCTGATATTCCCTAGAAGCCAAGTTGACTAAACTGAGACTGCTGTACTTTGGCCATATCAAGAGAAGACTTACTAGAAAAGACAGTAATGCTTGGTAAAGCAGAAAATAGTAGGAAAATAGGAAGACCACATTACAGAAATCAAAGAAATCATGGCCTGGAGTTTGCAAGATCTGAGCAGGGCTGTTCATGGCAGAGTGACTTAGAGGTATCTCATTGTGGGGTCACCATTAGTTGACATCAGCTTGACAGCAGTTAACAACAACAGTTCTTCAGATCATGGTGATTATTATTATTATTATTATTATTATTATTATTATTAGCTTTATTTATTAAGCGCCGTAGATGTACACGGTGCTGTACAAAACCAAATAAAATCCAGAATATATAAAAAGCCTGCCTGTGGTGTACAATCTAAAAGTAAAACAGCAAATTAAAACATCAATAAAAACAAGTTAAAACATCACATATCCAATATTAGATCACGCATCAGGAACAACCAGGTCAGGATCACAGACTCCCTGGGAATGCTTCCCTAAACAGTGTGGTCTTTAACTCGGCTTTGGAGCTGGTTAGGGATGTGTTGAGTCGTACTTGTAAGGGAAGGAGATTCCAGGAGTGAGGGGCAGCGAGCGAGAAGGGACGGATCCAGGATGGGGCAGTGGAAATCTGGGGCTGGGACAGGAGACCTTGGCTACCAGAATGGAGGGAACGAGAGGGGGTGTAGGGAGAAAGAAGTTCAGAGAGATAGGGAGGGGTGAGCCCATGCAGGGCTTTGAAGGTGAGCAAGAGAAGCTTATAGCGAATGCGGAAGGGAAAGGGAAGCCAGTGAAGGGATGACAAAAGGGGAGAGACATGGTCATATCAGTGAGCGAGTGAGATAATGTGGGCAGCTGAGTGCTGAACAGAAATCAATGGGTGGAGGTGAGAGTGAGGAAGCCCTGCCAAGAGAAGGTTACAGTAGTTGAGTCACGAGACCACTAGGGCATGGACCAAAGTCTTTGCAGTAGAAGGAGAGAGATATGGATGGATTTTGGAGATATTATAAAGAAAAAATCTATAGGCCTTGGCTGTGCCCTGAATCTGAGGGATAAATGATAAAGAGGAGTCGAAAATGAAACCAAGACTGCGGGCTTCCTGGACTGGCTGAATAGAGATGTTGTTGACGGAGATAGAAAAGGAATATTCAAGAGTGGGCTTAGGAGGGAAAACAAGAAGCTCTGTCTTGACCATGTTGAGCTTCAAGTGCCAATGGTGCATCCAGTGGGAGACAGCAGTCAGACAAGATGAAACTTGCTGCTCGAGCCCTGGTGAAAGGTCAGGGGTAGAAAGATAGAGCTGGGTATCATCGGCGTACAGATGATAAGAGAAACCAAAAGAGCTGATAAGTTTACCCAGGGACAATGTATATAGAGAGAACAAAAGGGGCCCCAAGACAGAACCCTGAGGAACTCCAACAGATAGGGGAACAGAAGATGAAGTCTGCCCACCCGCAACCACTGCAAAAGATCTATCTGAGAGGTAAGATTTAAACCAATCGAGAACGGCACCTGAGAAGCCAAGGTCAGAAAGTAAGTCAACTAAAAGACAGTGGTCAACGGTGTCGAAGGCCGCAGACAGATCGAGGAGGACAAGAATAGAGTAAAGGCCATTCGCCTTGGCCCGCAAGAGATCATTTGAGATCTTGGTGAGAGCCATCTCTGTGGAGTGCCGTGGGCAGAATCCAGACTGGAAAGGGTCCAAAATGGAGTTGCTGTCAAGAAACTCAAGACAGCGAGAGTAGACGACTCGTCCCAAAACCTTAGAGAGAAAAGGAAGAAGAGAAATTGGGCGATAGCTAGACAAGGAAGAAGAGTCGAGAGAAGGTTTTTTCAGAATAGGGGAAATTAGAACTTTGTTTAAAGACTGAGGGGAAGGATCCAGTAGAGAGAGAGAGGTTAAAGATTAATGTCATGACACAACCTGTTATTTTAAGATTTTGATAATTGGTTGAAAGAAACTTTAAAAACCAGAAAGTATCCATTGTATGCAATAGCCATTACAGAGCACACTTGACCGCCATCAGAAATCCAAATCTCCTCCTCCTTTCTGCCCTATAATATTTTATTTTGTGCCACCAAATCATTTCTGACTTATGGCGACCCTAAAGCAATGGGGTTTTCTGGGGCTGAAACTGTGTGACTCAAACCCTGATCTCCAGAGCTGTCATCCAATGCTCAAATCACGGCACCATGTCGGCTCTATGTATTTATTATTAAAGAAGGTATGACATGACGTCTTCATGGTGGAAGGTTATCCTTGCCCTTTTCAATCTCACTGTCTGCTACTTATTGTACAAGGAAATTTGCAATTCAATAGAGTCAGTGATGCATTTTGTAATAGCTGATGCTACTGGAGATCAAAAGAGAAGGAAGAGGTGGAAGAAGTAATGTTGCATTTTTTACTGAGTGCATCTATTTATATTTCTTCCATCCTTAGATTTAGTTTACAGAAAAGTTAAAATTCAATGGAATTATGTCAATGTCAAACCGTTCATATATATCTTCTCTGGTAGACAACACGCTGGTAGAGAGATAGCACCATGTAGTGATCTGAGTGTTGGACTATCACTGTGGAGACTAGGATTCAAATCCCTGCTGGGCCATGGAAACTCTCAGTCTGAGAGGAAGGCAAAAACAAACCTCTGAACAAATTTGAGCAAGAAAACCCCACAGTAGGTTTGCTTTAGGGTCACTTTAAGTCTGAAACTACATAAGTCAGAGACAGCAACAGATAAAGCTGCTCAAGCTAACAAATATTAGTGCCAAGATTGCATAAACCAAGCCTAAAGTTTATGTAACCATACCAAGAAAAATATTCTTTTCTATGAATTTTGATGAGAGGCATTTTCCAAACATATGATTAAGTTTATTCATATGCTAATAACAGCTTGGATTTTATTAGCAATATTGTAGTCCAACTTCCACCCCTGAAAACTTGGAGGATGAGGAGTGGACTTATGAATATGAACAATAGTGGTTTAAAAAAATAGAGTTGGTATATGCAACACTGGAACCAAATGAGAAAGATTATTTGTAATGGTGGCTGGGCAAGCCCTGACAATAATAGTGAATTGA